CGAAGTCTATTTTTAGCTCTTTGAAAGGGGTAACTCCCATCCCCCTGGGGGGGGGCCCGCAGAGCAGGCTGGGCATTATTTTTTAGCACATGTTACACACCACTCACTGGTTGCTTAGCACAGTGCTGGCAGCTGGCAGATGCAGTCATGCTTCTGGAGAAGGGCCTCTAATACAGTTTTTCCCAGGTGGGTGAGTCAGTGGTATTTTGACTAGATGCCCTCCTGTTGCTGTTGGGATGAGGATGTGCCCGTCTAGCATCACCCATCACCCCTTTTTAGTCAGGGTGGCTCCTCAGCCATGGCCCATTTTTTTCTTCTTAGTGTAACTGAGCAGAGGGACTTCTGGGGGTGTCAGGGCCATGGTGAGGGAAGGAGCTCTGTGTCCTTACTGGCTGCAGTCTTGGCAGCCTCATTTGCCAGATGATTTCCCCATGCTATAGGGTTGTCTCCTTTCTGGGGTCCCTTATAGTACAGGATTGCTGCTTCTCTTGGAAGCCAGATGGCTTCAAGGAGTTTTAGTATCTCTTCTTTGTTTTTGATAGCTTTTTCTGCACCAGTTAGGAAGCCCCTCTCCTCATAGATGGTCCCCTGTAGACGCACAGTAGGGAAGATGTACCCAGAGTCCGTGTGGATGGTGACCCGCTTGCCTTCACTGAGGGTGAGGGCTCGGACTAAGGCGTATAGTTCAGCCTGTTGTGCTGACCGTCCAGCTGGTAATGCCTTAGCTTCTAGGACTTCAGTGGTCATGGTCACTGCATAACCCGCTTTCCAGGCACCATCTTGTGGTAATTGCTGCCATTGCTGAACAGCGTGAGCTCTGGATTCTTTATGGTTTAGTCCTGTAAGTCTGGACGGCTCACATAGACTTTATCAATTACCTCAGAGCAGTCATGGTCTAGTTACCCCTCTTCCGTGGGGAGAGGGGTTGCTGGGTTTAATGTCCTTACTGTTCCGAGGGGGACCCATGGATTCTCGCAGAGGAGCCCTTGGTACCGTGATAGCCGGGAGCTGGAAAGGAAGTGGTGCCCTGTGTGTTCATAAGGGACGTAACTTCATGATGGACCTGGGTGTTAAGTTCTTGTCCCAGGGTGAGCCTGTCTGCCTCCTTAATGAGTAGGACTGTGGCTGCCAGCGCCCTGAGGCGCGGGTGCCATCCTGCTGCCACAGAGTCAGGTCTCTTTGACAGATATGCAGCTGGCCATTGTCAAGGCCCAACTGTTTGGGTAAGTACCCTGAGCGCTATCTTTTTTTTATGTAAAACGAGATTGAAGGGTTTTTCTATATTTGGTAGGCCTAGGGCTAGAGCCCGCCCAGGGCAGCTTCTGCTTTCTCAGTCCATGCAGGGGGGTTTTCGATGTGGTCCCTCTAAGAGATCATGGAGGGGTCTTGTTATTGCTGAGAACCCAGGAATCTGGATGCGGCAGAATCCTGCAGGCCCCAGGAATTCTCGTAGGCCCTTTTCTGGGGCTGTGGCAAAGAGATGGTGGCTTTCTTTCTCTGGCCCTAGTTTTCTCTTCTCTTGGGTGAGGAGGAAACCGAGGTATCAGACCTGTTGTTGGCAGATTTAGGTCTTCCTCCCTGAGATTCGATATCCTGAGTTTGACAGGAGCTGTAGGCGATCCTTTGTGCCTTGTGTGCAGTCACTGGCGAGGTGGTCAGCCACATCCTAGAGGAGGGCACATGCATTTGGGACAACTGGGTGCAGGGAAGTGGCCACCTTGTTGATGGGCAGAGGTCTTGACCTGGTTGATATCCCCTCCTGGCTTCTTGATTGGCGGGAGTGGGGTATGCCAGGCCGACTGGCACTCAATCAGGATACCTGCTTTTTAAGTCCGGCCAGGTGTTCTTGAATGCCAACATTAGCTTCTTGTGGGAGGGGATACTGCCTTTGCCTCTGGGGTTGGGCTTTCGGGATCAGTTCAACAATGATAGGGGCCCGATTCTAGGCTAGTCCAGGTGGGTTTTCTTTAGATCATACTGAAAGGAAATATCTTTCTGAAGTACCTTTCCATACTGAAAGGAAGTGAACCTGAAATCCGGCAGGCCATTTGGCTCAGCCTGGGCACAGAATAGCCTCCATTCTTTTTCCCTTGGTGTGGTAATTGCTAGTACCAGAGACCCTGTCTCCTCTTGCCCTGGGTTCATTCAGAGGCTGGTGTGCCCGGTGGGCTAAAAGGTTATCTGAACCCCAAGCTTGGAGAGTATGCCTCAGCCCAGGAGGGGGACAGGGCAATACATATAGAGGAACTCATGTTGGACCTGGTGGCCCCTGAGTTTACACTGACGAGCCTGGCAAATTGCAAGTGTCCTCGTAGCCCCAAGGATGATCGCAGTCCTCTTGCTGAATGGGGCCATTGGGGAGGTGACAAGAGAGTGCTCGGCCCCAGTATCAACCATAAAAGTTACTGGTTGGCCCATTTTTATTCTGACCATGAGCTCATGGAGGCCAAGGAGGAGAGAGCCTGGTTCCCCTCAGTCTATTTCTGCAAGGCCTAGGAGGTCCCCCTTTTTCAGGGAGCCTTTCTCCGGTTGAGACATACTTTATTTTAATGCCCCTTTTCTTTACAGTAGGCACATTGATCCCTGGCCAAAGGGGTTCTGGGTTTCCCCCATTTGGTGGTTGGGGCCTCCCACTCTATAGACCTGTCAACAGGACCACCCTGGAAACCCTTTCCCAGAATGAACAGGTGGGCTTGTGTGTCCACTTGAACGGGTCGGTGATGGAGAAAGGTTGATAATACATCATGGAAGGGCCGGGCTGGACTGTCGTGTCTTTATGGTGCCGCTCCAGTTCTTGCTTTTCTTGTACCAGCATTTGGAGGGCGCTTGGTCTGGCCTGGGAAACAACCTGGCTGCTAGTCTTAGAGAAAGTAGATCCTCTGGGCCTGGGGCGCCGGGGCAGCTGATGGTGGTGGAGTGTGTGGCACAAGAGGAGGCCAGGTGTAGACGGCCTTGGGGGTGCATACAGAGGGGACAGGATCGATTTTAGCCTTGGGATCTCTGGCTGGGGCTTCTGTCAGTGTTTTGGGGCCACTTGGATGAGGTGATTAAGATCAGGGCAATAGGCCCATCCCTGCCTATTGCAAGCGAATGGCACCCAGGGGGTAGGGTCTGGGCAAGTCCTAGCCAGGAGTCAATGTACAGAAATTGGTCTGGGTGTTTTGGCGTTCCTGTTACAACGAGCCAAACCCGATGAGTCTCTGGGACAGCTAATTTCCCTTTTGAAGGCCATCCAGCATTGAAGGTGGGTCATTCTAACTCAAATAGGGTTCTCAGTTTGCCAGGATGCATTTTAACTCCATAGTGTTTTGAAAACCCCTTTCTCAGATTTTGATCCTACGGACTGTAGTTTGACTCTGCCTTGGTCCCATAGTGATGTTCCCGTGTGTCGCCAGCGCAGAGACAAAGGGTGGGTGTCCCTGCAGAGCAGAGACCAGGCACAGGCCCGCCTGTCCGCCCTCCTGGAGGAGATCTGCATGCTTCTGGGCCATAGCGAGTCCATATAAAGCCCAGATTGGCGCCCCAAGGGCTCACTTTAGATCTTATGAGGTCACCCCGGAGCAGGTCAGGGCCCACTCGGACTCCGTAGACTTCTGGGGGCCCTAAGGGTGCCGCCTGTGGAGCCACGGACTCGGGCCGCCTGACCCGCCAGGTCAAACTGCACATCCGCTCGCGCTTTCACACCGAAGTTCTTACAGTTCCTGCCCCCAGGCCCTGACCTGTGCAATTCCTTTCCTTTGGGAAGTTCTTTCCTGTCCCCCCTCTGGGGGGGGGGGGGGGGTGTTCCCGTCCCGGGGGGAACCCCCCCCCCCCCCCCCGGCCCCCCCCCCCGCCCCCCCCCCGGGGGGGGGGGGGGGGGGTTCCCCCCCCGGGGGGACCCCCCCCCCCCCCCGAGTCCCTACCTGTGAGACCTCTGGGAGGTGTCTGGGAGGAGATCAGTCTCCCCTTCCACCCCGACGTCGCAACCAGGTCTTCACCTGCCAAGTCTCCTGTGAGTCCGGGCGGGACCGGCGGAGCGGCCCAGTGCGCCCCGCACGGGAGGCTGCCGGAAAGCAGGCAGCGCGCCTTCTCCTTTACGACCTTCGTGCGTCGCCGCCGCAAACTGGTGGCCGCGATGGTGCTGGCGTGGGAGCCACGTGTTGCGAACCTGCCCTGGGTCCTGGCCCAAAAAAAGCCAAGCAGCCTTCAGAGATCTTGGAGGACCGGAGGTTCATTTCACGGCGGTGGGCCCGGGAGAGAGTAATCTCTCAAGGTGTGAGACCCGAGCACCAAGGGGGTAGTTTATACACTTTGACTTCCATATCTGTGCCACTCTGGCGGCCTCGGCCCGCGGGGTGGGTGGCAGAGAACAAGGAATGGCCCTGGGGCCGGAACTGGGATTCCCCTGCCCGATTGGTCATACCACCTCAGAACACAGATTTTCCTTATCATGACTTCAGAATCCATGATCTAAATCATTCCGTGAAGCTGCCCTTAAAACCCTACCTTTATATTGCTGGGTGATGTAAGGATTCATACGGGAAAAAATATTCTAAGAAAATGACCCTGAAGATCTGGTATGGAAAATGGAGGCAGGGGCACCTGGGTGGCTCAGTCAGTTATGTGTTTGCCTTCGGTTCAGGTCACCATCCCAGGGTCCTGGGATCCAGCCCCGTATCAGGCTCCCTGCTCAGCGGGGAGTCTGCTTCTCCCTCTGCCCCTCTCCCTGCTCATGCTTACACACACACTCTCTCTCTGAAATAAATAAAAATGGAAGTGAATATGGAAAAAATTATAAGATCCCCAATGCAAAATAGCAGGCCACAGTTCTCCTTAAATATTGAAGCACTTTTATACGGCATCACTTCTATATCCCAGACTGTGACTGTATCCACACGCTTCTGTGTAACAGCCGCAGGAGACGAAGTCCCCAGGACCGCACTCTTGCCCGTCTTTTTCCTCTGAAACGGACACCATCTGTTGTACGCGGCATCGATGCTCTCTCTGTTTTAATCCCACAGATGAAAGAGCTCGGGGTCATCTTCTACAACTGCAGCTGCCTGGTCCTGGACTTACAAAGGATATTCGCTCTGTACAGCTCGTTAAAATTCAAGAACAGAGTGCCTCAGACCTGGTCCAAGAGGCTCTATGGCGTCTACGACAACGAGAAGAAGTTGCAGCTTCAGTTGAACGAAACCAAATCTCAAGCCTTTGTGTCGGTGAGTCCTTGCCCTCCCGCTCCTCCTTCCTCCCGAGCTGGAATGTTCAAGTATGATCCGGGGCCGGGCCATCCCGAATTCTCCACATCAGTTCTGTCCCATCCCTCGAAGAGGTAAGATATGTGCTATCAGACTCGGCTGTCCCCAGTGAGGGGAACAGTGATGAAGGTTAATGCTCATTCCTAGCTCCCGCGGTCACCATGCTCCTCCGCTCTAGCTACGGAACCCTCCTTTGATGAAAGGAGCCTGAGGGAACCCCATTGTGTAACACAGATAAAAGGAGAGCTGTGTGTACTTTACGTCACTGAAGCTGAGGGCAGGGCACGGCACAGCCTCCGGCCCCTGACTACACTGAAAACCACCACCCATCCTCCACATCCACCCCCCACCCACCACAGCTGCCCCACAGTGTCACTGGGAATGGACAGTGTGACTCTGTGCCTACAGCCCTGCTCCCCAGTCTTTAATTAAGGACTGGCTGGGGCAGGGGCACCTGGGTGGCTCAGTCATTTAGATGTCTGCCTCCATCTCAGGTCATGATCTCAGGGTCCTGGGATCGAGCCCTGCATCGGGCTCCCTCCTCAGTGGAGAACCTGCTTCTCCCCTCAACTCCCCCACCCCCCTCGCTGTGTCTCTGTCACAGAAATACCTTTAAAAAAAAAAAAAAAAAAAAAAAAGGACTGGCTGGGGAGTCTGCTTAAAATGCAAATGTAGAGCCCCCTGCTCCTACCTAGGATCGAAGCACTGGACTGGGGTGAGACTTTAGAATTTTGTTTTGAAGCAGGCTCCACAGCTCATCCAAGTGCTCAGATAAACTGCTTAAAACCATGCTCCTAATTCAACACGCTCATCATCCTTTTTGCGGATCAAACCCAAAGCACAGTCTGAAAATTTAGCCAGGTAGCAACTGAGACAAAAGAGGGTGTTTTTTTGTCTTAACAAACTCATATAAATACAAATAGCAGAACACAGACCGCAAGACTTTCATCAAACCAAGCTAAAAAAAACCTTTTCTTTAAAAAATATGCCGCAGACCACAATGCAGTCGCACGTAGCGTATTGCATGGGACGTTCTACGAGCCTAATTATTTCATGTCTTTGGTTTCATTTCCGCTCAAGACAACCCTGTAAGGCGGGAAGGTCAGCTCTGATTCTGAATTTGTAGACGACTAGCAATAGGAAATTGGGAATTCAGGGAACCCTGAATCCAGAAGGTGACAGGGTGACATGGCAGCCCAAGGGACATTTGCTCAGCCCATACAGCAGATGGGAAGCAGCAAGGGATAGGTGAATTCTCAGCAGATTTCAGACAGTTGCTGGATGTTGAATCTTAGAGCCAGGTGGATGTGAGTTTTGTGTACATTTATATTCTGACTCTTAAAAAGCTGGGGGAGTCCCCGCTTATTGATCCCAAAGTTACCAGGCCAGACCCTTAATAAAATCTACTAAAACGAAGGCCTTTGTTGTATTCTAGGGCAGATTTGCCAGTTGCTTTTTATTAAATGATTTGCCCCAAAATAAATAGAGTTTTTAAATATGCCTTCAGGAATAACCTTTTAAACTGTATAATGCCTCTGCTTTCATTTTTCATATTATTACTTTATCTTCTATTTCCCATTAATATCAAGCCTACCTTTGAATTCCAGTCGGACGGATGTTAATTGAACACGGTTTTTGCAGAGACATAAAATCTTACAGGTAAAAAATAAAGTCAGACCTCCCCACCACTGGAATTGGTAACATTTGCCCAAAGCTCTTTGATCTCACCCCTAATGTAGCATTTATCACATTCTCATAACTGTTGGTTTATTGATCATCGCTCCCACTATTTGAAAGGCTCCAAAGGCCATATACAGGGCCATCTTCATCATTGCTATTCCCAGCACATTACTTACAGCTCCCTAAAAGCAACAATAAATGTGGGATTGGTTTTATTAGTAGTAATTTTAATAAAAAGTTCTAGGATGTATATAATTTTCTGAGTAATACATGCCAAACAAATGTCAAGGCAAACTTATTGAAATTCAAAGCATTTGTTATAAAATATCTTAAAATAGTATTTTTTTTAAAAGATTTATTTATTTGACAGAGATCACAAGTAGGCAGAGGTGGGGGAAAGCAGGGCTCCCTGCTTGAGCAGAGAGCCTGATCCCAGGGTTCAATCCCAGGATCCTGGGATCATGACCTGAGCTGAAGGCAGAGGCTTTAACCCACTGAGCCACCCAGGTGCCCCTAAAATAGTATAATTTTATAATCTCACACAGTTCCAAGACTAAGTTAACACACGCACACACAAATATTATTGAAGACCTTAAGAATTACCATTCCCCAAATTAGATTTGGGATGATTAATAACTTAGGATGTTATATAAATTTTAAGTTATGATATAAACGTGGATTATTTCTAATTTTCTCATGGAACACAAGGAGAGGCCTGGTGAGATTTCACTCTGTGATCTCTAACCACTCGGAGCCACATGGTTTGGATTTATTTACATTCCCCATTGAAATCAGAAACAGGAACCATAGTTAACTGCATTTTGGTCTTATCTTGTAGATTTCTCTTTAGAACCTTTGAGATTATAAATTTGCTTTCCAAGATCAAGACTAGTTGGTTCAAGGTCTGTTCTTTTTAAGATTTTATTTGTGAAAGACAGCATGAGCAGGGAGCCCACTGTGGGACTTGATCCCAGGACCGTGAGCCTATGGCAGACGCTTAACCGATGGAACCACCTAGGTGCCCCTCAAAGTCTGTTGTTACGGATCTGGGTGCTAGACAGATCTCATTTCTCGTTACGGTTTCATTCACCCATCCAGTCCTGCAGACTGAGATGCGTTTAGTGAGTGAGCGCAGACATTAAGCAGAATATGGTGCTGTGAAAAATACCCTGCTCTATTCCCCTACTTCGTTGTTAACTACATTTGAATAACTTTGTGGAGAGATGCTTTATATTCCATGAAATTCACCCTTTCCAGGTATATGATTCAGTGGGTTTTAGTGTGGCCAGAGCTGTGTTTACATATCCACTGGCTCATTTTGAATATTGTCATCACCACAAACACCACACCCACTGGGGTCACTCTCCATAGTCCTCTTCCCCCAGGCCCTGGCAACCACTCCTCTACTGCCTGTCTCTTAGGGTTCTCCTCTCTCTAGCATTTCATATTAGTGGAATAAGACAGGATATAGTCTTTTTTTTTTTTTTTAAGATTTATTTGTTTGCGAGAGAGCACAGGAGGGAGCAGAGAAAAAGGGAGACAGACTCTTGCAGACGCCCCACTGAGCCCAGAGCCCAACATGGGGCTCAGTCTTATGACCCTGAGATCATGACCTCAGCCAGAATCAAGAGTTGACACTTCACTAACTGAGCCACCCAGGCACCCAGCAGTGTGTTGTCTTTCGTAATTGACTCCTTTCAAAGTCTATTAATGTTACAACATGAATCAGTACATCCCTCCTTTTTTATGGTCAAATAATATTCCAGGTACCACATTTAGTTCATTCATCCATCAACTGATGAATATTGAGGAGTTTCTGTCTTCTGGCTCCTGTGAAGAGTGCTGGTGTGAAGCTTTATGTACAAGGTTTTATTGGAACACCCGTTTCCAGTGTCTTGGGGTGTAGACTCAGGAGAAGTACCGTGGGTAATGTGATAGCTGTGTGCGGCACACTCTGAGACTGACAAACCGTTCTCCAAACTGGCTGCCCCAATTGACGATTCCACCAGCAACAAATGACAGCTCCCGTGTCTCCACATCTTTCCCAATGCCTGTTATTTTCGATTTTATTTCACCCCGCCTGGTGGATGTGTGGGTGTGAAATGGTATGTCCCTGTGGTTTTTACTTGTATATTTTAATGTGTTCGTTGGCCCTTTGTTCATCTTTTCTGAGACATGTCTTTCCAATCCTTTGCCCACTTTACTTGGATTTTTATTATTGAGTGGTGAGTGTTCCTATACATTCCACATATACAGTTTGCAAATATTTTCTCCCTTCCATGGGGCCAGCTTTTTGTGTTTAATATATTTTAACTTAAATATTCTTGGGATGGAGTGTGGACTCTTTACAAACCAGGAAACAGTTGTGAAATAAATCAGAAGCCTGCTAAGGCGAGTATTTAAAGACTATACAAAGCAAGTTATGTGCATGTTTAAGGCACTAATTGATCCGAGAGAGCAACATATTGCCTAGATGCAGGTGCAGAAGAGAACTGGAGTGGTAAAAGGTCATCACAGAGCCAAAACAAAGAGATTGTTTTCCTGCTCCTTCCCATAATAAAGGAGTACACAGTGCAAGGCTCAGAAAATTAATTCAGGGGCTACCTGGGTGGCTCGCTGAGGTAAGCGACTGTCTTTTGCTCAGGTCATGATCCCAGGGTTCTGGGATCGAGCCCCACATCCGGCTACCTGCTCAGCAGGAAGCCTGCTTGCGCTCTCTGACTGTCAAATAAGTAAATAAAATCTTCTTTAAAAAAAAAGAAAATTAATTCAGGACCAATAAGAGGGAGACTTAACAGCCTTCTAATTAAATTATTGGAACTAATTAACTTCCTCTGTCGGACCAGTAGATCAGTCATTCTTCAGGTGGTTGTTCATTCACTTACGTCTTAAGCAAATATTTCAAAGCCATTGGTATATCCAGACACTATGTTCAAAGGTAGTGAACTCTGGAATACACCATCAGGCACCGCCACGCCCCCAGGGCCGGGGGGACTGACACAAACAGTCACGCATTTCCCTAATACACACATGCAACACCTGCCACACTCCAGGCATCGGGTTGGGCGATGGGACCTAGGAAGCAACACAGCAGGCAAGTACACATCCAGGGCTATTCCCGAGCGGATGGAAATAGCCAACGTGAAGCAGCTCCACTGGGAATGAGGTCCGGTCCGGGAGTCCCTCCAGCCTGCAACGCTGGTTAACGCAGGAAGCCCTCTCACGTTCAGCCCGCAGATACTGCCGCATAGCAGGGGCTAGGAGTGGCATGGAGATAACCAGGTGCTGGAGATATGCAGCCCAGCGGGGCACACGCCAGTGCAGAAGCACCCAGACTCATGAAGATGACCCCATGTCACGGGCTAGAATAAACGCCACCAAGCCAGCAACTTATTAGGGCCACCGATGTGTGCCGAGTGGCCAGACTAGCGCTAGGATGCGGCAGGCGCTGAGTGCTATTGGTGGAACAAAGACCAGCTAGCACAGAAGAGGCCGGAAGCGAGACGGGTGTGTCCCGTGATGACCCACCCCCCTTCAGCCACGGGGCTCAGCAGGTCGAAGGGACCCCGCCCAGACGCCGCAGGCTGTAAATGCCGGAGCCGGGCCAGGAGCACCGGATGGCACCACGCACGACCAGATGTGAGGAGACCAAGGACACTACGCCTCCATTTGCTCCTCCCTGAAACCAAAATTAGTTTTGGGAACACACAAGAAAATCCAGGAGACTTCGAAACAAAAACAGGGGACTCCGGCTGCGTGTCAGGACTGGCTCAGGCCCTGGTCTGGGGCTAACATTTTTTTTAAAGATTTAGTTTACTTATTTGACACACACAGAGAAAGTACAAGCAGGGGGAGCAGCAGAGGCAGAGGGAGAAGCAGACGGAGCAGCGAGCCCCACGCGGGACTCGATCCCAGGACTCTGGGATCATGACCCCAGCCAAAGGCAGCCACTTAACTGACTGAGCCACCCAGGCCCCCTGGTGCTAACATTTAAAGCAGACCCAACAGGCTGAGGGAATTAAGTCGTTTCCATATTGACTGTATTGATAGAGACAGAAAAATGAGTGGCATACAATCCCTAAAATCCAGCCAGGGACTGTCTCTGCCAGCAGCTGAGGCAGGGGCCATAGGCTAACTAATATCACAGATAAATCATATTATGAGAGGCCAGAGAAAGGAAAAGGAGCCTCTGGGTTCCACGGAGGGGCTCATCCTTGAGCTGGAGCGCAGAGAAAGCCTAGGACTCCAATGGGCCAGAAATGCTGACACGCAGAGCACACAGATGGGGGCTGGGCCGTTCCTTCCCTTTGGGGCACGGTGGCTGGCCCAGGAGGGAGGCAGAGAAACGGGAGGCCAGGGCACAGAGGGCCAGAGATAGAACCCTCCGACGAGTTCAGGCAGGATTCCCAGACACACGTACGTAGGTACGTGTGTTTGTTTTTTGTTTTTTGGTTTTTTTTTTACATCATGGTGACAAGGAAATTATGTGTTAAAGTCCCAGCAAAGAGCACTAGGGAGAAATGGCGGGAGGGACAGGGAGACACAGGAGACGCTGTAAAGCAGGAACATGTGTCCCGGCGACAGCCGGAGTAACCGCCATGTGTGTGCTGGGTGAAGGGGGGAGAGACAGCTCTGGGTTTTGTTTTTTACTGCTTTTGTGTGGTATGGTTTGTTTCTATTTTATGTCCATTCATGAGGGTTTGTTGTTGTTTTGGCGTTAGTCTTTTTCAAAGACTTAGAAGCTCACCCTCATTCCAAAGTAAAAATCATTTACATAATCAAAAACCATCTGATAGTCAGCTACCAAGGTGACTTTCTGAGCAGGGACGCCAGCGTGGGGGCGGGGCTGACCAGACTCCTTTCCTGCCCCCCTCCCCCACGCTCCGCATTCCTCTGGGTTGGGATCTAGAACACCCACTTCGTCTTCCCTAAGCCGGGTTGAGGATTCCCAGCAGCGTGGTGCGGGGAGCCCCTGAACCTTGGATGAGAGACCCAATGCCCCCACAGCAGGGAGTTCCAGAAACCATGTATTCAGACTTCCGGTACAAAACACCCCTTGGATTACGCATGCCCCTCCACTTACCATCTGTATAGAATAGGTACTACACGGTAACGCCTGAGAAAATTTGCAGCTCTACCTGACAAGGTGTCCACCAGAGCCCCCTAAGTTTAGAGCTAGAGTGCTCCCCAATTTGGGTGTGGGTATCGAACGTTAGAATTCCCTCCCAAAACAGACGTAAAGGACAGCCTTAAGACCCGTCCTAGCACACTCAGATCTGAACATGCCTAGCTATGCTAGGATCACATACATATTTGTCCGATCTCATCCAGAACTGCGAAGTTGGTTTGCAAACTTGACCCAAAAGCCAAGCTCCATTAGAACATGTAAAAAACAGCAACAAAAGAGAGAAAGCCCCAGCTAACAAAAAGCAATCTAAACGCTTGTTTTTTTGTGTGTGTTTTTGCAGAATTCTCCCAAGCTCTTCTGCCCCAAGAACAGAAGCTTTGACATCGATGCCATCTACAGCGTGATCGATGACGCCAAGCAGTACGTCTACATCGCGGTCACAGACTACCTGCCCATCTCCAGCACCAGCACCAAAAGGTCAGTGAGTGCGCAGCCTCGTCCTCGAGCCCATTCTCCAGGGCCAGGCACACATGGGGGACCACGGGGAGCCAGCCTGCACCCGGAGATGCTCTCTGTTCACCTTGGGTGGCTACCCATCTGACCTCCTCGGTCTGCATTTGGATCTTGCCAAGGACACGTCTCCTCCCTCAGTCCATCTGCAGGACTCGGGGGTCGTCTCCTCCTGCCAGATTTCCTCAGTGCTCTACCTTAACAGGCGCTGGAACGACTTTTAAATGAAGATGGGGGTGTTGTCAACCTGAGCGTTATTTGAAAAATAAAAATAAATGGAATAATCTAAACGATTCAGAAAAAAACTACGTCTTAAAGATGAGTTCGCAGGTATCCTTGAAGGACATGCTGACACTGAGGAGGCCTGGCAAGACCTTCTGTGGAGGAGACGTCATCTTGTTGTGTCCCGCCAGTCTTCATTAAATGCTCAACTTTCATATGCTTTCAGCTTCAAGAAGGAGGAGACTCAGAACATGTATGTTCTCAGTCAATCCATTCCTCTCTATGAAGAAGAAAGCATTTTAAAAATCAAGGGTTTTTTTTTTCAGTAATTCATCACTGTTTGGGGCAGTGTGTAAGTCCCTGAATATTTACATGGATACAGGCGTGGCTCTGCCCCCAAAGTTTCCTGCTTTTGCTTTCTTGCTGGGAGTGCAAAGATTTGGGTGCTTGCGTTCTAAAGAACACATTTCGTCCAGGGAAAGTTTTCAAAGGGCACATTTCTGGGAGTACCACCTGAGACTTTTTAATTTGAAAAATTACAATTTCAAAATAACCATTTGCTGCGGTAAAATGCATGCGTGTTCTCTATTGCTTTAATGTTTTTTAAGTTGCCAACCCTGCATAGGCATAATATGCTTCCTTATGCAAATGGCTGTAGGATTGCGAAAGCATGTTTCTCCCAGAACTGCTGGAGACACTATGAAAACACTTTTACTTTAAAATGCGGTACATCCTTGAATATTCATAGGTTTTTACCCATCTACTTGTGCACAGTTTCTAGCCCTCCTTTTCATTTTCCTCTTGTTTATTGTGTACGTGGTTTCAGATACCATTTTAGATGTCAACTCCCCCTGGGGACGATTTTGAAACCTAATAGATAGGTTTTGCCTGATTTTTCCATTATTGTGGAAGGAGAATAAGGTCAAGTTTATGGACTTATGTTAGTATGGAGGATGATTTCTTAGGATTGACAAAACCTTCATCCCATGAAGTCCCAGGAACAAAATTAAGCTCCTTTATGGTTGGAGGGGGTTGGGGGGAGGGAGTTAGCATGGAGAACCTAAAACATCTTGGAAAAGCAAAAGTTAGAGAAAACTAAAAGAATGATAAAGAACGGAAAACTCACATGAAGTTTTGCATTTGGGTTATTAATCTCCCATTTCAGCTGTTAGTAAAAGAAGAGTTCTTTTCTCATACTTAAAATATTGTAAGACCTGCCCCTGTTGTCAAGGATTCTGATGAAAAGTCATCAGAGACATAAGAAATAGTTCAAACATCTAGGCTGTAATTAAATATGTAAGAATGGAAAAAAAAAAAAATTGGAAACCCCCTGGGAAAAGACACTGAAGTTTGTGTCAGCTGAGAATGTCTATTTGGTTTGTTTTTTGTTTTGGTGCATTTTACTTCTGTGAGTGGTGGCATGACTTCATTATTCGTGCTGCAGTAGAACAATGTAGCCACATAGAGCTACACTCTTTCTTCCTTTCACAGTCTCACCAAAGGAAAACAACAAACTGCTTTAAGCACTTAATGCCCCACTCATCAATCTGAAAGTAGGACCAGTAAAATCTCAACCGTAACCAAATGAGCTTTTACCTTACTTTAAAACACTCTAATTACCTTTAACTATTTTCTTATCAAGTGTAAATGGGCTTTAGATATTTCATAATTATAAACATGCCAATGACATGTCTCTGTTCGTTATTCATTTGTGGCAAAACATTCTTTTTCGGTAGTATAAAAAAAAATTAAGCAAGCTGGGTCTTTCAGGTTTGAAAGACAACTTCTGAATAACATTACCACTAGCCAGTCTATGAGAAAATTTTGTTTCGTTTCTGTATATTAAACTTCCTTTTCATTACAGTAAAAAAAAAAAAAAAAGAAAGAAAAGAAAAAATATTTAAGTCAGCCTGACTCCTTGTCCTGGAGAAATCTTTCAGGAGTGATTCCAACTTGAATAAACAAATAGATACTATCAAATATGCTACAGACTTAACTTTTGGTGTACGCACTGCTAAACATCCAAATGAAAGGAAAAATTCACATGCTCCCAAAGTAGAAATAGTTGGCAACGTGTAAAAAAAATATACACCATCACTTAGCAGCAATGTTAGAAGTAACTTCTAGGGCACCTGGGTGGCTCAGTGGGTTAAGCCGCTGCCTTCGGCTCAGGTCATGATCTCAGGGTCCTGGGATCAAGTCCCGCATCGGGCTCTCTGCTCAGCAGGGAGCCTGCTTCCCTCTCTCTCTCTCTCTCTCTGCCTGCCTCTCCATCTACTTGTGATCTCTGTCTGTCAAATAAATAAATAAAATCTTTAAAAAAAAAAACTTTAAATAAAAGAAAAAGTAACTTCTACTTTTCAAAGGAGTAGGAAGAGAGCAGAACAATGATGTGTGGCTAAGTAGATCTTGCAGTAAAAAAACCAGAGGCCCTATTTCACTTCTTCCTGTTTTAGCCATCGGGTGCTCTTTCTTTAAGCAATTCACTTATTTATTTGGTTCTCAGTGTGCGGTGGTTCATTATTTATTTCCTCAGTCACTTGTAATACATCTTTCAGAAGGAAACCAGTAAAAGTGTGAAGGAACAATAAAAATGTAGGCTGGCAGCCAAGAACCCCCTCTGGCAAAGTTACCTTTCGGATGTGAAGGAGAAACAAAGGCTTTCCCAGAAAAACAAAAGCTCAGGGCGTTCACCACCACTGGGAGACCTGCCTTACAAGAGGTGTTGAAGGGAGCTCTTCAAATTGAAACAAAAACAACAACAACATGAAAGCACACTAAGTTCCGATTAAGGTGATAAACAAGCAGTTGGAATTAGAATATTATATTGTAACTCCTTTTTGGAATGGTAGATTATACTCTTAACTGTATGTTAAAGGAAAAGAGCGTTAACATAACTCTCGCTACTAAAGCTGGGAATGAAGTCACAGCTGAGGAAGAGGTAACATCACAACATGGAAAGTACAGGAGGAGAGGAGCAAAAGGATGATAGGTGAAAAGAAAAGTGCAGTCAGTAGAGAAAAGACTGTTTTCTTCTATGAGATGCCTTGTGTAAACCCCATTGTAACTACATGACAAAAATTTAGAGCAGGGATGTGAAACATAAAAAGGAGGGTGAATGACCAAATCATCCTGGAAAACCACCAACTGGCAAAAGCAGAGTGAAACAGAAAGAAAAATAAACACAGAAAAACAAAACCAGAAGGCGGGAGATGAAATGGCCAGTAGTAAGTAAATGCTTACCTATTAGCAATCCCCCTCTGTGAAAATGCATTGAACTCACCAGTCAAAAGGCACAGAGTGGCGGGAGGGACAAAAAAGCAAATATGCTGCCTAAGGGGACTCACTTCAGCTCTAGAGACAGGTACAGGCTCAGAGTGCGGGAATGCAAGATGACACTCCTCAAGCGAACAGAAATGAAGGCAAGTGTAACCATACTTATATCGGACAAAATAGACTTTAAGCCAGAAAGGGTCCCAGGAGACAAAGAAGGTCCTTATATAATGATAAAAGGGCCGGTATATCAAGAAGATAGAGCGATCGGAAATGTACGGGCTTGCTGCCAACTCTGTGACTTCAAAACGTACTAAGCAATTAATGAGGGATCCTAAGGGAGAGAGAGACAATAATGCGGTAATTGTAGGGCACTGTAATACCCAGCAACAGCCACGGATAAACCAACCAGACAGAAAGTGAACAAGAAGATGTTGCAGTTGAACCTAGCTTTAGAACAAACGGACTTAGCAGGCGCACACAGAACATCACACCCAACGGCAGCAGAATACACGTTCTTCTCAAGTGCACATGGAACGTTCTCTGGGATAAATTACATATTAGGCCACAAATCAGCAGATTTAAGAGAGTTAAAATCATACCAACTATCTTCTCTGACCACAATCATATGAAACTAGGAATCAACAAGAAGACAGTAAAAAGATCTACAAATACGTGAAACTAAAAGCACTTCTAAACTGTTGAGTCAAAGAAGAAATCAAAAGGGAAATAAAAAATTGTCTTGAAAACACAACATATCGAATATTATGGGATGCATAAAAGTAGATCCAAGAAGAAAGTTTATGACTATAAATACACTGGGAAAGGAGAAAGATCTTAAATAATCTCACTTTACACCACGAGGAACTAAAAAAAGAAAAGTATCAAAGCAGAAATAAATGAAATAGAGGGGCGCCTCGGTGGCTCAGTGGGTTAAGCCTCTGCCTTCGGCTCAGGTCATGATCCCAGGGTCCTGGGATCGAGCCCCACATCGGGCTCTCTGCTCTGCAGGGAGCCTGCTTCTGCCTGCTTCTCTGTCTACTTGTGATCTGTCAAATAAATAAAATCTTAAAAAAATAATAATAATAAATGAAATAGAGACCAAATCAATAGAAAGTGTCAACAAACCAAGAACTGGGTCTCTGAAAAGAAAAACAAAATTGAAGCCTTTAGCTAGACTAAGGAAAAAAGAGAAAGCTCAAAGAAATAAACATGAAAGAGGAGACATTACAACTGGTACTACAGAAATACCTAGAATTATGAGACTACTATGAACAACTATATGTTAAGAAATTATGTAAACTAAAAGAAATGACTACATTTCTAGAAACACACAACCTACCAAGACTAACACAGGAAGATGGAGAAAATCTGAACAGACCAGTTGTGAGTAAAGAGATTGAATCAGTAATAAAAAAAACTCCCAACACAAGAAACCTCAGGACCAGATGGCTTCCAAACATTTAAAGCAG